AATGCGCGATGTTTTTTGTATATTTATCAACAATTTTGCTGTGTGTTAGGTTAATTTGCAATTTATGCTAAAAATCTAGCAAAGAACTTTGTTACGTTAGAAATTGAACATTTCACAGAGTTTAAACCCTGGGCTTTTTTTACCATCACAATTTGGCACAGATTCATCTAATTCAAGACAAGGATAAGACGCTCTGTACTGTATAGTAAGTTAGTTATTCAATTCCATCGAGGAAAGTACCCACCCGATGTGAACGATGTAAAGCGTAAACATTCTAAAACTATTAAAACTATTTCAGTGTGCAAGCATGACGTCTCTTAGCACTGTTATTCATTACAAGTCAATTAATAGTTCTGCCGAACACACAAATAGCTCGTGCTGTTCAACTAAACAACCGAATTATCCTATAGGCTTAGCGCTATAGTTAAAGTCCAGCTCCATATTTTCATGATTCTTATGCCTGCACAACGAATAGTTCAAGACAAATCTATCGGATGTCGCTAAAAAAAATACATTTTAGTTTTCAAGTTATCGCGCTGTTTCCAACATTTCTCTTTCGTTGAGAACTTCCATGTAGGAAATAATAATTATTCAAGCGTGAATGTGCAAACGACCATGATTCTCTTCCTTTAATTTATTATCATGCAGCGTTGGACATTCTATTTTCAGCATTGAATTGTTAAATGTCAACACCAGGCGCGAGTGCCAGGCTATTGATTGCGTGGCATTCACGGCACCCGATGCTGTGCGGTCACTCAGCTCTCGTGCCGTCACCGCCCAACAAATTATCGCTATGCGGACAAACGACGAGCGTCGCATAGAATTTCTTCTCTGTATGGCTTTAATTATAATTGTTATTGCTGTGTTAGTCATATGTGTACGCCCAAATTTTGTCTGGTCTGGACAAACATTTAAATGTACCTCGGTAATATTACCTATATCAATTGTTGTCTGATGTTTAGAAACTACCATATTTTGCCATGAAGAATTACTACAAATTTGAATTGATCAAAGTGATGCGTAAAGGCATAGTACGAGTTGCTGAGCATCCAGCACAATAGCAGAACTTTGGTCATTCGTTCAGTTTATATCTCTCGCTACTAAAGCATTCCCCATAACTTGGTTGAGCGCGCTCCCAAGGTGCTCCGATGCTCCTACCTTGGCTGGATGGCAAGGAAGCGTTTCTCAAAGCCATTTGTACAGAAAAACACAGACCCCCTGAAGAGTTATTGCGCCGACTTTGGTAGCCTCCTGCGAAACTCTGCATTACCATCCCCGACCCGCGCCCATCCTACCATCCTGATTTATGCAGTAGGGAACAATCATAAATTGTGTCCATTATGTGTGGTGGGGAAGGCTCTGAAGCCGCTTTGTTCGCTCATCAGCCCATTGTTCGCTCGGATTTTACTCCTCGTGACAATTTGGAAACACCTGATTCTTCCGAGACCAACCTCCGGGCTACAATTTATCCTCGAATGCAAAGCCGCGAGCCTATAGCGGCTCTGAGATCCAGGCACAGTACTAGGAACATATTCTTTATGATGTTAAGTTTGCGTTGTGACGCCGCAATTAAATGCCTTCTTCATTGTGAATTAGGCTTGGCTCTCATGGTTTATAGTGAGAGCAAAATTATTGTCGCTCCATTGTATCGTGCCAAATTTTTGAGGCAATTGTCAAAGGCTAGATTTTTTATTCCCTTAAAGATTTTATTGATTTCATATATTTATATTGTCAATACTTAACATCAAGGCATGAAACGCGAAAATGAAATTTTTATGGTGTGTCTCTGATTTAATTTGCATCTAATATAATTTATGTGTCAATACTAGGCTGTAGGAATTTTCAAACGCACCATATTGTCTTGAAATATCAATACGATTATAATTCTGTACTGTATGTTGCAAAGGGGAAAGGAAATGAAATCTGACTAAACTGTAAGTTTTTTTGCGCGCAGGTATCGTACCTTAAAGGTTAGGAGCACTAGCACCATATCATCAACTAGCATATCTGACTTATTTTGTTATACAAGTCGATCATTTGCGATCAACCTATAATAGCGATGTATAAGATCTGCTGTGTTATCACGAACTGTTGATGTTATGAGATAGAATTAATGTGAATATTTTCGTTCTCAGCAGATTTCTTAACGCATTCCTTTGTACCGTGAAATTAGATCACTAACTGCCTCATTTGAAGCTCTAATCTAAATGGTTACGTTACGCAGCTGTCCCGAGCGAGCCAAAACATTCGTTCTTTCTCGCAAGAAATCAGTTTGTGCCATAAAAGTACTGTAATCCTATTCTCTACTAGTAATTGCGTACACGAGTTCGTATGTCCTCTTCGTGCAATATGCCGCAAAAATGTTTCTTTACAAAGAACCGTTCCTACATCGACGGAACACGTGTCCACTTTTCTCTTATATCGAAGGAACTTGGCCACGATAATTTCCCCAATTGAATTTTGAGACTTTGTGCGTTTCAGCTGCTGAATCCCGAGGCTATCTTACAAGGACTGTATAGTTTGATCATAAAATGTAAAATGGTCAACTGCCTAATTTTTCCCCCAATTTTCGATCAATTTTTTAACGTATTTTCTAAAGCCTGATGGGTTTTGCCTTTTTCCACGCATAAAATCGTTTGTTGTAGTTCGCTGTTAAGGCGTATTATTTTATATGCCTTGAATATTTCATTTTTATTTAATAATCTCTGAATCAAGATTCACCTGAGAGCAGTTGATCCGTACTGCACTTTTGTTCCACTCTACAGCAGTAATATCACTACTCAGAAATTGTTTATAAATAATAGGAAAATGTGTCTAAAAATTTCACAATTTTTTGTTGACGTGTCAAATAGTTTCAGCTATCTATGAAAAAAATTTCAGCTATGGACAGAAAAAATATGTATGAAAAATTTATCAGCTCCTGTGTCACATCACGATCATGTTAATTGCGCATCTGTTTTAATCCTCGCAACGAACAACCAACATGACTCGTGTTTATTCTGCTTTAGATCGAGTTCACTCGACAGTTCTCCGGCAGTGGGAAAGCAAATTGTACTATGTGGTAAATGGAATGAGATTCAATTCATTTTCCTGTCCGATGCGGGCCACTGCTCAGCTGGGAAGGGAGAACAAGTTTCCTGGGTTTGTGCAGTGTTGTGCAGGTTGCTAGAGTTGCCGCTGCCTGCCGTCCTATTTATCAGGCGAGATCATTCATACTTGTCGTGCTGAGAAGCAGTCGCAGGGTGACCATCGCGCCATGAAAGAACCATCGCAACATCGTGACTGTAACTCTCGATCTAGAGTGAACCTATTCGTGGTCTTTGATCACTATTAATGTGTCGTGTAACGTTTGGTATTATTATTTTATTAGCAGAATGGTAGAATTTTTACCTGAGCCTCTTTCTAAATTAGTCTGAGTTGATCTGCATTTTTTGTCATATCTATATCACGATCCACGATCAACGTTTCTACGTCTGGCTGAGATTACTATCTCATAATCTTATTCATAAGCTCGAATTTCAATTCCTAAAACAAACAAATTTGTTTCCGTCACGAAGCTGGAAATAAATACGGGACGACGAAATCACGAATAAGATTTTCGAGGCTTTCTGTTCTGTTTTCCTGTATTGGTTTGTGTGTTTTTCTGACGATGTCCCGTGCGGGGGCGTAAACGTATTTGTTTTGCGTCAATCCCGACTTATCTTCTCGAGCAGCAACTCGTTTGGGGTGCGATTGCGAGATCTTGTGTACAGCCGTGATCGATTTAACTGCTGCGCAGGGGCCGACTTAGTGAGGGATTGTGCGTGTCAAGTCTCGCTCCTGACGCTGTCGTCTTCCCGAGTCTATCTCTCAGGACTTCTAGAGTTACTCACTCAAATCCCTAATCAGATTTCGGTTATCTGGTTTGTCGCTACTTCCCGCGCCTCATGTTTTGTGCACAAATACATTCCTACCGACCGCTGTCAAGGAATGTTTTGTGTTTCGTAAATTAAATTCCAATATTCTTCATGATACGTCCACGTGCATTCCGTAGAAATTATTTAGGCGCAAGTGACTTTCGGAATTGATTAGATTTCGATTCATTCCTCTCAATATTTGCTAGCGGAAACATTGCACTTCTAGTTTCATTTTAAACAAAAAGGTATTTTTATTTATTTAAACTGCATCACCGTTTGCCTGGTGTAAAAGGGGGCGCATTTTCTTGCCTTTGACCACGAGTGATTGCATCAACAACGTCAATTTACTGCTAACTATTCAATTTAACACGGATTCCTAGACCTACTTTTGTATAATAACTTGGTATCCTAGATGAAAGACTAGCTTCGTCGGTGTTCAATCTTCAGACTAGAAAATTTTACTAATTCATTTCTTCAGGGTTGGAAAGTTTCTCCACTAATGAGCCGAACTGTCCCATAGATTTTTTTTGTTTTCATTTGTGTTCGTCGGGAGTTGTCTAGACAGAAATGGGACAGTGAAAATACGAGAAAATTCTCATGTCATCGAGTTTCAAGCGCTCGTGGCTTACTCAATAATTAATGTGTTCAAGATGACAGCTAATGAAAGCGTTTATTTGTTTACTAAAATTCAGTAAAGAAATGATGACTCTGATGGAATTCTGTGTCTATTTTTTATAGACTAGTAAATATTTATCCCTCTGAATTGCTCACTTTTAATCCACCGTTTTACCGTTCTGTGAATGGGTAAAAGCTGCACCTTTGTATTTAAAACAATATCATTGCATTATTCGTATATTTTTTTACGAATTATCAAGATTTCTGACCTACAGTCTTAATATTAGTATTTGTGCGATTAAAATTTTGATTAAGCCACAATTTGGGAGGGTTGTAAAGTCTTTGTCGTATTTATTGAGAAAACCTCAATCATTGCCGATGTCTTCATCATGACACTGAGTGCAAAACAGCGAGTGTCTGCGTGCCACAAGCCTCGCACAAACATACCGGGATTATCACAACAAATATAGTTGTTTTTGACGTCCGCAGGGAGGCGCTCGAGCGGCTGGGTTACGACATGAGCGGTGCGAGCTTCGTGATAGAAGACACGACGACCTCCGTCCACCCGAGCACCGAGACCAGCGTCCTCGGTGGCCGCACCCTCAGATACAGAGGTCAGTTCTTACCACAATCTTATGTGATTCCTTTTATGTGAGTTACTCACTTCTTATTCTCGTCTTTCAAGTTTATTTATGTGTGTTGCGACACAGAATGCACGTGTTCACGTAGTCGCTACATGAAGAGGATAAGTAGGTTGTGTGCCACGTCAGATCGTGTATGCTTCCAATGTTCATTTGTTGTTGTAAGCGTCGCCACTAACGTTAATTCGATCTCTGTTGTCATTAATAAATAATTCTTAAGATTGAAAAACTTAGCAGAGATGTGAATGAGATATTATTAGAATAGTGACGAATGAGAATTATCGTCACCTAAAAATTAAACTCCTATGGGATTGCGATTTTTGTATTATTGTATAAAGTTCGCTTCCTTTGGTGATGCGAGCTTTGCCTTCTGAGGGCAACCGCACTTCCATTTTTCGTTTCGTTTGTTCAGAGCGGAACTGGCCAGTGAAACAAATTAAAACGAAACTGGTCCCTTAATGAGAAAATTTTGTACCATGTTCTGGCAATCGCTTGAATATCCGTCGTTATTCATCAAATATTCTGAAAAGTTATTTCTAGCGATAGTATTAGGCACTGTATGTAGTCAGAGTAGCAGTAGACACTGCTTCACAGACTCGCCTGTGGAGCAGTGACCGCTGACTCGCTTTTCGAGCAATGATGACTGACTAGTCTGTGGAGCAGTGATGACGGACTCGTCTGTGGGGCAGTGACCTTGTGATGAGTTTAGGATTTCGTAGTCCACGGTTATGCTGATGCGCCGCCTTCGTCGTCCTCAGTCTCCGAGTTGTCGCTAGGCAGGTCACCCCGCCCTCGGGTGACGAACTCGTCTGTGGAGAAGTGATGACGGATTAGCCTGTGGTACAGTGACCGCGGACGGACTCGCCTTTGAAGCAGTGACGGCAGACTCGCCTGTGGAGCAGTGAAGACATACTTGCCTGTGGAGCAGTGAAGGCAGACTCGCCTGTGGAGCAGTGAAGGCAGACTCGCCTGTAGAGCAGTGAAGGCAGACTTGCCTGTGGAGCAGTGAAGGCAGACTTGCCTGTGGAGCAGTGAAGGCAGACTCGCCTGTGAGCAGTGAAGGCAGACTTGCCTGTGGAGCAGTGAAGGCAGACTTGCCTGTGGAGCAGTGAAGGCAGACTCGCCTGTGGAGCAGTGAAGGCAGACTCGCCTGTAGAGCAGTGAAGGCAGGCTCGCCTGTGGAGCAGTGAAGGCAGACTCGCCTGTGGAGCAGTGAAGGCAGACTTGCCTGTGGAGCAGGGAAGGCAGGCTCGCCTGTGGAGCAGTGAAGGCAGACTCGCCTGTGGAGCAGCGAGACCCGCGCTCTGTTGAGGCCAGCCTCCCGTCGCGCCTCCAGGGCTTCACTAAAACAATGAAGCGTTGATCAAGAAATTGGGCCTTACTTTCTTCATAATTATTTACTATTTAATAAATAGCATTCTATATATAGTGGCATAAATTCACATAAGCAAGACTGCCATCTCAATTATGTGATGCATTTACGACAAGTTCTGTTCTGTTAATTGACTTCCTATCGTGTCCACTTCCTCTCAGCCGTAAATGATAAAGTAACTCCACACCATCTTGCTTTATTTATGCACATTTAGCCGATGATGAATTTTACAATGTGGCTGCCACTGTGTTTACTATAGAAAATATTGAAAATGTGTTCACTTGGCACCTTCTGCTGGGACGTAAATTATGTGAACAATATTTCTCAATTGAAACTCAGTTCCTTCATTAGTGTTATTAGTGTTAATATATTATTGGTTTTTGATGCACAATCGAGTCCGACATTGAAATATGAAGCAATTCATATACCGGAACTAGCATGTGGAACCAGTTCTGTAGTGCATTTTTGCTTTCAAATTTTTCAATACGGTGTACCGATGGTGTTTTTTCTGACAAATTCCGCGATTCAGTTTTTTTCGATTGCGTTGGCCGGCAAAAATTCATGATTAGCGATACTTCCTTATTTAAATTTAACAAATGAGAAAAAAGGAATATTGAATTTTCTCGCTGGAACCTACTAATTTACTAGTAAATATTGAATTATTAGCTTTTTGGCTATTTGTGGCCGCGGATTTGGCCGTTTTTTATACCATCTGGCATGCTAGTGGGTCGTACCGCGCTCAACGTGTTAAAGCTGCAGACGCTCAAGTCGTACATCGTCTACATCTCATCGTCTACTCATCGCACATACCCTAAATCCATGAGTAGTTGTCCTACTCACAACCCTAAATGCCAAGGGTACGTGGTTGTCCTACTCTCAAGCGCAAGGAGATTTGCTACACTCTACCCTTTCCATACTCGAAGTGGTTGTCCTACTCTCAACCCTAAATGTTAAGAGTGGTTGTCCTACTCTCAACCCTAAATGTTAAGAGTGGTTGTCCTACTCTCGCCCTTTCCATCCTTAGAGTTTTTGTCCTACTTTTATACCAAGAAAGTAGACTGCTTCTTCCGTTGCTCTCCTTTTCTTGTCTGAATTGGACATCACAGGCATCTGAGGGTCGGCCATCCGTTATCGCTGGATCGCTAACAACTGCGAGTCTCTGCACAATGTACCAGAAAAAAACTTAGTGTCTACATTCCTAATTCTCCACAACGGCTCAAAACAACCATCAGTTCTACCTTAACAAAGATATATAACATTCATTATTTATACCTCAACAACACTCAAATCACTCATTAGTTCTGTCTTAACAAAGGCTTTGAACATTGATAGCATCTACATTAACAGAAACTAAAACATTCATTGATTTTTTGATTTAACTGCTATAAGTTGGGCTCAAAATATTTATTGCATCTTTATTAATAACGACTCTACATTTGATTACGTCTCTATTAACAAAGGCTTAAATCATTCGTTGATTCTATCGTAACAAAGGCTCAAAATATTTATTGCGTCTTCATTAACAGAGGCTCAAAACAATCATTGCCTTTACGCGAGACAAAGAGGGCTGACAACTTCCGTGCTTCCGCTCCTCGGTGATGAGAATAATGATTTCTGTTGAAAAAGCCGCTTTTCCCGCAATCGAAAGTCGCTTTTCTGTTTGCAATTCATTTCCTGGCGATCACAAAATTGTTCATATATGCAATAAAATGAACCGTGTTCGCAGTTACAAATTTTACACAATATCTTTTTGTGTGCTTCTAGCCGACTCCCGTATCGTGTGTCGTTGTGTACAATAATTGCATGTACACAAAAAGTGTTACAATTGATTTTAACCTTATTACCCTTATCAATTAATTTTATATTACAAGGTAATTTAAGTTGCGTATTCGGCGCCTATTCCTATGTTATGCTAGACTTCGCTTCGTAATTTTACTCTGCAAATCGAAATTATAGATTCTTTCTCTATATTTGCAACCATAGAGACAAATTTATTCCATCAAATCGAACAGGGCAATTTTTACATAAATACTGTGCGCTTATTTGACCGGCCAGGGCTCGTTCAGCATTAAATACACTCAAACATTCAATGTTTGAAACATATATGAAGAATATGTTTCATAGGTACACGCCGGTCATCTGGCGTGAGGTTCGGCGCGTCACCGGCCGCAGCTTGTCCACTGGTACACAAAAAGCCAGTCACGTATTGCAAATTAATCATTATTTAATTAACATTCTCTTCGACTATAAAGATATACAACAAGCTGTAGTGAAGAGCCCAGTTATACAAGAAATTTGTTCCAGCGCGTTAATATTTTTTTCGGGATATTCATCACTGGCAATTTGCGTGTTGTACCTGCCCATGGAGCCAGAAACTGAGGCCTTTACGTAACGCCAGAAACCTTAAGCCTGCCCGTAACGCCAGAAGCCTTAAGCCTGCCCGTAACGCCAGAAACCTTAAGCCTGCCCGTAACGCCAGAAATCTTAAGCCTGCCCGACCTTAAGCCTGCCCGTAACGCCAGAAACCTTAAGCCTGCCCGTAACGCCAGAAACTTGAAGCCTGCCCGTAATACCAGAAGCCTTAAGCCTGCCCGTAACGCCGGAAACCTTAAGCCTGCCCGTAACGCCAGAAATCTTAAGCCTGCCCGTAACGCCGGAAACCTTAAGCCTGCCCGTAACGCCAGAAACCTTAAGCCTGCCCGTAACGCCAGAAACCTTAAGCCTGCCCGTAACGCCGGAAACCTTAAGCCTGCCCGTATCGCCAGAAACTTGAAGCCTGCCCGTAACGCCGGAAACCTTAAGCCTGCCCGTAACGCCAGAAACTTGAAGCCTGCCCGTCACGCCGGGAGCCTTAAGCCTGCCCGTAACGATGTTGGAGTTGGAAGAAATGTTGATGTGTAATGTAAACTCGTATCTTGAACTTTATATCTAAATCCTATTTGGTGTGCTTTATTATTGAATTTTTGCGGCGCTATCTTTTCATCATCTAACAGCATCCCCTATCATTGGGGAAGACTGGTCGACCTAATGAACCTGTTTTAGAGCTATGGAAGGGGAGCAGTTGCGCCACCACATCGCAAGAAGCGTCGTTATACGTAGAAGCTCTTATCAATTGTGATAACGGCAACGCAGACGCGTCGAACAACGTGACTATTATTTCTAATGTATTGTAATGGATAATAACAGCGAAAAGGGCGTCCTATTGGCTTTCCGTAGTCCGTTGCATAGAAAAATGGTAAATTGATATTTCTCATTAAGAATGATTTAAATGGTACATAAACTTCTATTCATCTATTGGAATATATGTATATCTGTTGAAGTGTGAACTTCTATTGATGGTTGACTTCAGAGTTAGTTTTGTTAGTTCGTTTTGTTAGTTAGTTTTTATCTCGATTCTGGACTGAGTTAGCAGCATTTTCAATCTAAAATTTGATGTAGAAACGTTCACAGTGATTATTCTAGATTTTCAGTCCAACAACAGTCAGATGACCGGCATGAAAAGTTTATCAGGACTGAATATTGAGAGCTAAGCCCGGGCTTGGCCTCATCCCTTGATTAAATATGCAGATGAGAAACTCAAGTATATTTCGGCTCGTAACATTGAGCCCGCGAGCAGGTGTGATCCTGCAGCGCCTTACTCATCCGCTCAGCCCAGACGCTTCAGCGCCTTACTTATTCATCAGCTCAGCTCAGACGCTTCAAGGCCTTACTCATTCATCAGCTCAGCTCAGACGCTTCAGCGCCTTACTCATTCATCAGCTCAGCTCAGACGCTTCAAGGCCTTACTCATTCATCTGCTCAGCTCAGACGCTTCAGGGCCTTACTCATTCATCTGCTCAGCTCAGACGCTGCAGCGCCTTACTCAGTCGTCAGCTCAGCTCAGACGCTGCAGCGCCTTACTCAGTCGTCAGCTCAGCTCAGACGCTGCAGCGCCTTACTCATTCATCAGCTCAGTTCAGACGCTGCTGCGCCTTACTCAGTCGTCAGCTCAGCTCAGACGCTCCTTACTCATTCATCTGCTCAGTTCAGACGCTGCAGCGCCTTACTCATTCACGATCTCAGCTCTGATCGACGCTTCAGCGCCTTACTCATTCACGATCTCAGCTCTGATCGACGCTTCAAGGCCTTGCTCATTGTTCAGCTCAGCTTTGAAACTTTGACACCTTACTCATTTACCAGTTCACTCCTGAGGATTCAGCACCTTGTTCATTCAACAACTCAGCTCTAAAATGAACAGTTTGTTCAAGAACTCACCACTGATGTTTTTGCACGCCAGAAATTCATCAGTATAGTTTTTTGTTGCTTGCAAATTCATCGGTAAAATATGAATAACCAGACTTGCTCATAAATTTTTTTACGCCAATTGCTTGCGCGGTAGACATCTTGTCATGCTCATGTGATGCCGTAAGAACTGTCACATTCCGCTGTCGGTTTTTGTATTCAATATCAAAGAATATGTGAAGCTTTGCATCCGGTTGCTTGCATATAAAGCTGCACTTATTATATAATATATACGAAGAAGTGTCGGTTATTCTGTCGATTATTATCTTTGAGCATTGAGTATGATTATTATGAAATATTGTCATTTTTAGATCAGTGTTTAGCGAAGGAAAATTGTTGGAAAGCAATGTTGGAAGATTGTTTGGCGTTGGAAAGCCAAAGAGCTCTCGTCACCCAGAAATTCTTTCATTCGGTTACTTTCAAGGCGCGTTAAATTATAGAGAAGTTCAATTAGAGTTCAATTATAATTCTGAGTTCGATTTGAATTTTGATTCTTAAATTCTGTACAAATTAATGCTTCCGTTCATTGACTTTTTGAAGGTGATAAAAATAGTTTCTACTGGAAATTTAAGAGAGACATCTTCCAGCCTGCGCTCAAAAGACAAACTTTCGAGATCCAGTGTTGCTGGAAATGAAAACTTTCGTAAAACTATTTTCTTTCGCTATCAACTCTATCCCTACTTAATTTCCAGAGTAAGTTTTCCATGCTGTTCCTAATGGTATAAGTTATGTTTATTTGCATTTTTGAAAGGGCCTGATGTAGCGCTCATTGATCACACATCTCACCTCGATGTCGCAACTCGTGTTGCGCGCGACTCTAACTACCGTTATAACTATCTAAATTAGATGAGTGACAATTTCGGAGTCGTGTTTGTCCGTCTCGTCCCACTTCCGAATTATATGTCTCCTCCGATTAAATTTTCCAGAATCGCCCATCAAGTTTTTTCGATATAATATCCGATTCTGAAAACGTATGATAATGCTTTGCGAGAGAGACGAACGGATTTCCCGGAATTGCATAACCACTTACCGAGACCCATTATATTTCTATTCTTCATTTACATAATGTCTTGATGTTTATTTAACTACGTTTTTTAAATTGATTTCTGTTTTTATTAACATTTCCTTGATAGTTATTACTGTTATAAACTTTGAATTATTAGAATGGTTTGTTTAACGTTAGCTTTAAATTATTTTTCCCTCTGAAAGTAAATATTGGCTTTGTTACACCAAAATATATTTCTCAATTTATCGTCTCGTACCTGCTCCGTATATTAATATTATTGTGCAGTCACAGACTCAATGTGGGGCGCTGCCCTCGATCGTCCACTTCTTGCTTGAAACTTTACTCTTTACGAGCCCCAACAAATGGATTTGTATGATGCCTCTTACTATTCCTATTAAATTGGATAATAATCTCACATTGTTAAACAGCTGTTAAATGCAAAGGGCTGTTTAAAAAACGTGATTCTTCTCTAAAATATCTTGAACAGATGCTCAGTAAACTGGAAAACCGTTGTTGTAAATGAAGTTTGCTTACAGCAATCGAGTTTCTGGCCGACTCTAACTTAGAACCATTTGGCTCTTTGGTGTGCTTAAGGCCCCAGACGCTATGTTCAATTCTATTTATTAAGGGATTTTCTCTCCGGATTTTCTGGTGCGTCCGCTATAAATACGAAAAAGAAGCATGTAGAACAACTGCACCGATGTAATTTTTGGAACTGTAAAGGGGATTTTACTCGAACGCTCACCGTCCAGAATGGTGGCTTGCAGTGTCAATGTATTTTTTGCATAACCCCCCATTCGATTTCGGTCACTACCAGCAATGTACAGAATATTTTAACTTCTATTCTTACTGCAGCGATAAATTATTCGTATCGTCTGTCGCTGTTTGGTCCAAGATTCATTTCATTTGTGGCTACTCTTCGTCTGACGTCATTTTTTGCTGTGATTTCTTTTGCGTTTAAAAAATATGCATTTAAATTCTATTATTTCTTGAAAAAGTAACCTACTTAAGAGAGGAACCTTCTATATTATTGTGGAATTCGTTTTCGTATCAGCTTTAGGTGAGATATTGTTACCTCAAACCTGTCCGTCGTTGACTCAAGTTATTCTCCACCAAACTCCATCGATTAGACTATTTAGATAATAAATAAGCTTATGTGTTCGAGTGCAGGAATTACTTTTGATAATTATAACTGCTCATTACATTTATAGATTTTTACCGACAACGCATTTCCAATCGTAGTTTCCAGTACTGAGACTGAATTTTCAGCCAAAATTGTGTCAGAAAAGTTCTGTGTCCGATCTCTTGTTTATCTTTCCATGCTTTATTATACCTACTGGTTTTTTCCATGCTTTATTATACCTACTTGTTGAATTCCTGGTTCTCAAATGCACTTCTATTGTATATTTCGTACGCCTGATGCATGCGTGTCACCAACATTTTACTTTAGTTCGATTTTAAAAGCATCTATAGCGTCAGTTGCGGTGTTGGCTCAAGACTGTAAAGAAGGAAATGTTTGGTACGTGTGTTTAAATTCTGAATATCCGTGTAACGTGAATATTTGACTTTTATCGTGTTATATGTTCGAAATAAATTATTTTACTTCTTGATCATACCTTATGTGCAATACTAATTTTATGTAACAATTTTTACCTTTGTATATTGGTTGTTTGCAGAAACCGATTTATAAAGACAACTGAACGAAAAATCGTGTATTCAAATCCTTCGCCAAACGAATATACGTAACACTACTGGTTTTGCTGGTATTTTTAGTGATCTCTCTCCTTTTTCGTGATCTTACTTGTATTTAGAATCCATATTTTTGGAGATCTTGAGTCATGAATTATGAACAATTAATTTGTTATTTCTGATGGAGTGCGTGGAGCCTACGTTATATCGACGACTGAATACTTAATGTTTAAATTTTATGCGTAGCATTTTTTAATTGAATGTTTTTTGTGTTAATATTCAAATTTCACAAAATTGTAACACAAAAAATTCTGGCCACTAAGGAGCTGAACTCTCTGGTGGTACGTCTTTACCTTTTTGCTTTCATCTTTACTTAGACTCGTTCAACGAACCATGATAATGAAGTGTTTATTTTCATTATATATATTTTTATATGAGCAATTGTTGATCACTAGTCATTAATTTAGTGTTGTCACTAAGAAATTTTCTAGTACATTAAATTATTCCCTGAAGACTTTATTTCGTAATTGAAATAATTGAAATATGGCATATCTACCAATTCAATATAGATAACCATCGGCTGATTCCTTTTACTCACCCATCTTAACACAGAAAACATTTATCGAGGAATTCTTTAAACAATGTACTGCCTCATTTCTTTTCTAAAATCACAAAGGAGCAATAAAATATCTGCCGCCTCTTCAGCACCTTCCAACCAATGAAGTTTTAAAAGCTAGTTCATGCGTAAAAAATATGTTTTTTTATCAATATTCTGATGATAATAACAGCTGCGTTTTTCTCGTGGCAGGACGCGACGCTAGCAGAAGTCCTGTGCGCACACGCTCCGCCGGTCCCTCGCCTGGTCAGCTCTCCTCCAGGAAGCAATCTAATGTGAGTACATCCCTAATTGTTGTATCTATTAATTTTTTACCCTTCTTTATGTTTAATTTTGTATTGTGAATTAATTTCGAGGATATATTTTTATAGTTCGATGCACACTGCGGTACTGAAATGTCAGATGCAATAACCGTAGATTTACGTATGTTCGCATTTTCTCTTTCTGTTCTTCTGCTCATCAGGTAAAAATAGCCCAAACAATAGCATTTTTCGTAAAAGCATCTTCTCTATGCTACAGTAATCGAAATAACTACCATTTATCACTTCCTCCTGTTTTTGCTAGAAATGTCATTTCTGTCGAACATTTAACGTTCGCGTGACCTCATCGTCGTGGATTTGTTTTATCTTTTCACCTAAAGTTTTTGCTCAAGTTTTGTGTCAAATCTTAAAAATATTTGATGCATCCATGCATCCATTTTCAGTTGAGTCAGTTTTGAATGACATATTTTATATAACCCAGTGCTCGTCTCGTTATCAACACCGCTTATATACATCATTTTAGTTTCAACAATTTATATATATAATTTAACTATTACGAAATATATATTAAAAAATCAAATTCAAATTCAAACCGCATGTGATGAGGTTCATTGGTTTAAATTCATTCTAGTCACCAAATAACTACCTTCCACTGCATTTGTGTCTCAGTTCTTTTAAAGCGTCAAAAATACCTTAACGAGACCAGTTAATAGCATCAAAAGTAAAGCATCGTACTTCTCGACCTTCAGAATTTCCATGCGTGGTGAGTGCAATAATTTAATCTGACTTGGGCAATCTCATTCATCCAGACTTCTTTCACTCCCAAGAACTTGAGGTTAACTCAAGAAGAGTCCGACGACTGTTCTACTACATTGGCTGGAGCGCGCATCAAGACCCAAAAATCACGTATTTTGCACGCCTCTCACACTACTACTGAACAGAAACTTTGCTACTTCGAGAACTGTTACTCCTGATCTTTCTTGATCCAAAGAGAATCGTCTCGCCCAAGTTCCAGAAAATATCCTTTCGAGTTTTCTTTCTGCAGCAAATCACTTAACTTTCGATAGCAAGTGGCTCTGAAGCCATTCAATTTTTTCCCCTATGGACTTAATTCCAAACGATCACATCATAGACGTAAAGAAATATATTCTATTTAGTTCTAATTTCCAATCTATAGTGTATCGTTCGTTGAGTATTATTTATACAACCTGCCTTGAGCTGCGGCCTATCACTGCCACTTGTTTGCTGGCTGTCGTTTGGCTGATGGTCTACCTCTTGTTATGAGGTGCTGCGATGCCACTCAGTGAAATGCAGATATTCTTTTTGTCGTGTTTGCTTCGAAGTACTTCCATTCAATTTCATGATGATTGCTGACAATTGCTTCAACTTGAATATTTAATTTTATCAAATAATTACTGGCATAACACATTTTGCTCAGAAGTAAAAGTGTGACGTTTTGGACTTGGATGTTCGGTCACAAGCAAAGTGTTAACTTTGTAGACGTGGACTATTCGCTAAATCGTCAGGCAGGAACATGACGGCTTGTAAGCGAGGCGTGTCTGCATGGCCGACGATACACACCTGGCCATCTTCTAGCAAATTACAAAACTTTAAACATTGAGCTTAATTGCCAATAGAACTCTCATGTTGATGATTCGAGCACGCTGTGGATGCACATTCTGAACGGCCATTGCAACTAAAACTTGAGAAATTTTGCAGCTGTAGTCTTCCAGTTGTTTAGGGGATCATTCGACGAGTTGAAATTATTGATGAACTCGTGAATGATTGTTCACAGGAAATTTTTATATGAATAGTTTGTTAGACGTCAAATATCATGAAAGGAATCTGCCTCATGGACACTAGAATGTATACGAAAATCGAACGCCAATCTCCTATACCTTTTTTGTGACGATGGCCATTTCTCACTTTCTAACTTACGTAAAATCACGGCCGTACGACGACCGCAAAATATAATACGTATACGAGTTACGTTGTTTACTGTATTAAATCACAGCTGGCGCAATCGTGATTCTGGTAATCATTTATGTAATTATTTTCTTTATGAGTTATTATACGTTTACATAAATTTTTTGGTGTGAGTGACAATAATTTACCTTTCACTGCCACTGCTGAAGATGTTGTACTTGCGAGAGGCAGGATATTCAAGCTCATATAGTTCGTGTAAAAAGCTCATATGTTAGGAGCCTAAAAGATTTGCGACGGCTATAAAAGCTCTCTGAGCAGCTAACTTACTCCACGGGAGCTCAGAACGCCAAATTGTGACTTCTTTAGAGCGCTCGCATTCAGGGTAAGGCAGCCGGCTAATACTTCCTCTATATTCCTATTTTAAAAATTCTTTTATGATGTTGAACCAATTGCTTGGCTGCACGAAGTGTAATTATAAGGAGGCTGTGCGTGTTAGGACATCCAAACCTGTTTTACTGCGTAGTGCATGTTTAAGATTTCACGATAAATATTCGGAGATGCTCCCTGTAAGAGAATATAAAGCAGCCTCCAACAAAACGACGTTCTCGATGTTCTTTGAAAGCTAAGTTGCCTTTGATATGCTTTGTTTATTTTTATGGTCACTTTCCAGAGTCATTACTTGTTGATGCTTGCAGGGTCGGGAATTTTTCCACTAGCCTATTCTTGAATCAATACTAAATGTTATGCTTATGCTTCATGCCATATATCTAAGGGGGATCAATTTTGTTGATAAAAGCTGATTCTGCCAACTTTTCTAGATAAGTGATCTTTCCTTGGCCCAATAGTCGGCTAAAAGCAACAATATAGCGGAGAGAGCTGTTAGGCCGCTGCTGTGCTCATCAGAGCAACGAGCGCCGATACAAACTTCAAAGGAAGGCCTCATAGTGAAAGCTTCGTTGGCTGTCCCCTTAATCTGTGAGCCCTCGCATCTTTTGGCATCTCTGGCTTATGCGCAGCTCCCGTCAGCGCTGAGTCTTGATCTCACTGCGCTACTCGTGTTCTTATGCGCAGCGTTCTACTTATCTATGGAGTAATCTCATAACTTTCTGTGAAGTGTTCTCCAAGAATGAAGATTTGGCGCATTTGCGGTACGCAGTTCATTGAAGGAGTTGGATGAGTTTCTGTTAAGTTTAGGGATAGCCAAAATAGGTTTCATCACTTGATATTGACTGCATAGAACACTTTAAATCTCAACGATGGCGTGGACAAAGTGTAGAAACTTGATGCCTTCAGACGAAAGTTCTTCGGGTTAGATTTTGCAAAATCTCTGCTCTAGGTCGATTCTTCCATGTACTGAATCTTTGTTAAGACTAGATGTAATTTATACTTCAACACTAAAATTCCTAAATGACGATCATGACTATATTAGCAACATGACTACATTACTAACGAGACCCAATAGTAAAATTACTGATTTTCAAACGTCTCTTATTCAAAGTCACTTGATCTTGTTAAGAATTCGTGAAGAAGTTGGAAAATTTATAATTTCTATCAAATTTTGGAGAAAATCTCAGAGAATCTTCGCGACGGATTTGACTAGAGCGAGAATCCTGAAGCATATTACCCGGCTGTACGTCAGTCGGATGCGTTTTCCTGTTCATCAGAACAGTCTGGCGCTGCAAAGATCACATTTGTGTTCACAAAGCTCTGCTTGCTTGGCGATGAGGAGGTCTCTGTGCATCAGCGTCCCTGCAGCCTTTGTTCCTGCTCCGTCGGACTCGTGTCTTTGTCTTTCTTACGTTGCCCTCTCTCAGATTATGGTAACCATTCCGTTTGAAGCTCCTAAAAGGACTTCATGAAAATCAATTTTTACTCCGATGTTTGGCATCATGCATCCATTTATGTTGACAAAAGCGTCTCGTGGGGTTACGGCCTTTGATTATGAAGGGCTAGTGTCTGCAGTTATTGATGTCATTGAGTTCTGATGAAAATTGAAATTCTATTCTCTTTGAAAATTAAAATTTCTCAGAAGCTAATTTAATGCTATTATACATAATTTCCTCCCCCCAGACCCGGACAGCGCAAGGTTGGTTTCATCGCAGCGCTGCGAGCACCGAAGACAACTCGCCATTAGTTGATGAAAGAGGTAATGGCGGCCCGGCATCCCAGGACGGACCGACGAAGACCTCTGCCAAAGTCAGCAAACGAAACAACCGCTTGTCCACCATGTTCTCGCCCAAAGAAGTGAGTACTCAGAACATTTATTGCCTAAATGTGGTGCGCATCCCACTGGGGAATGCACAAGTATAGTTGGTGGGATGCGACGAGTGGGGGTGGGATATTTCTCTTTATTCTTAAAATTGATATTTGCGGGAACATGGTAACAACGACAACAATCAAGCGTTCAGCTTCAGAACTCAGCTGTGGTCAATGCGTGGGGATCTGTCTGCCGGCTGCATTTATTATTATTATTCTACTAAGCAGTTATCATGGCGTCTGGAGCAAACAAACTTCGAAGAGACGTTACACATAAGTTTAATAGGAAGCGAAAAATAAATAGACACGAGAAAAGATGAGAACGGATAAAAATGACTAAGCACTTGTTTCATAGGCTCTACGAAATAGTTCCGTTTTTAGGCGTCGACGAAACACCTGCAACGAAGAAGCCGATGTTACGGAAGCCGGCAGACTGTTCCAGGTTCGGGCGGCGGGGACCGGAAGCGCTCTGTCGTCGAAGGTAGATAGACGTGTAGACCGAACGACGAGGTCCGCTGTTGATGATGCACGCAATCGTCTTCTAGAAGGCAGATCCGACACGCGCTGCAGACATTCCTTGAGATAAGGAAGCGCCAGACCGTGAAGGCATCGGAACGTCAGAAGAGCGACCTTGAACTGCGTGCGCTGCTGACTGCGCAGCGAGTGAATACCGCGCAATATCGGCGTCATGTGTTCGAATTTTTGCTTATTGCACACTAATCGTGCTGCAGTGTTCATTACGGATTACAGTTTATTAAGTGCCGTGTTCGGAAGTCCATAGAGTGTGGCATTACCATAGTCCAATCGGGTCACAACGAGCGCCACCACGAAGGCCTCGAGAACCGGCCTTGAGAGACAGCGACTGACGCTACGTATTCGTCGCAGAGCGCCAAAACAAGAGGTGGTGACTTCGGCTATATGATTGTTCAGAGTCCTGCAGAATGCCGAGGTTGCGAACCGAAGACGAAGGCATGACAAACTCGTTGCCTACGCGAATTGGGTTGGCCTGAAGCTGATGTTGGCGCCGAGCAGTCACAAACCAAATAAAGTCGGTTTTTGATGCATTGAACTGGAGCCGATTGGAGCGCATCCAGTCTGAGATGGCGTTTATGCGTCTATGCAGACAGACATCCGGTCGTGCAACAGTAGCCATAAATTTGGATGTCATCGGCGAACACATGCGGATTCAAACTATGTAAATCAATTGTGTGCAATACGTTGACAGTATATAACAAGTAGAGGATCGGGCTTCTCTGAGAGCTGGAGGATTTATCCGCTTCTCTGAGATTTTCCATGCATGCATGCATATATTTTCCACACACACTTCATATATTTTTCTTGATTTTCTACACAATCATAGTGCCTTTTTTATGATTTATACCTTTTTCATACATTATCCTCGCGTTATTCATCATGAATTCATCACCCACTCTTCCGAAATTAATCAGACACTAATTGTTTTTTGCTATTGTTATTTGCAGGCAAGGTGGCTCAAAATTCCCGACGCGCTGATAAATGAAAATGATTATAGGTCCGGGATCCAAGGAACTACTGACATTAATCGACTCACTTTACAAGTTCTGCTTCTTAGTTTTCATGGCAGTAAAGCCAAATTGCGGGTGACGCCAACTTTATAAAAGAATTTGATTACCTGATTACATGTGACTGCTGCGATTACAAATAGTGTTGGGCTTGTGATCGTCTATAATAGTTAAAATGCTATCAATTCTGGAATTCTTATGGCCATCGAAGGTGTCAAGACAGATCAACATCCTTTAAACAATTAATAAATTTAATACTAATCATTTCGCTACCCACAATACAAGATTTGTAAACACGTTTAGCACTATTCCTGTTTTGATCACCCATGCGTTGTTGATAACGCATCATCTTGCTCCTCTCATCGGGATCTGTAATCGCTCTCCGTTCATTGACCAATATGCCGATTTGTTGCCCCAAATCACATACTTCAATTTAATAATTCCATTCGTTTTGCCCGACAATCTATCTAACATGGCAAACTCGATTTGCTCTGCGATGCCATGCAGAGCTGCTGACATCAATTCTGCGTGCTCTGTGATCGGTGCTCTGACAACGGTTCAGACGCCCGTACGTCTGGGATATTCTTCCCAGTGTTCCTACATTAGTTAGTTGAGATTACTTCGCAGGTATTATATTTATTTTTGTGTCGCTGTGTGACCGAAGCGACCAAAACATCAATTTTGGCAATTGCTGCTTTAAGGCTCCGGCCACCGTTGCATAATTTACTAATGATGATGTATTATCATCGATGATTTTATGTATTTTACTCATTTTGTGTGCCGCAAAATTTTGTGCCGCACGAAATAATTTTTCTTTCGGTAGTTATAAATATCTTTTGTATGGTGATGAAAATGTATCCTCAATTACCTTGTTTAATGCAATGTCTCCTTATTTTACTTCTCCAACTTTTTCACCTTATGATTGGGCTGGATCAATGGAAAATATAAACTTCTTCACAGCCAACAAGTGAAGTGGCCTTTGTGTACTACAAGACTTGTTTGCTCTTTACATTGCTTGAGTTGGCAAAACCTTTGGCAAAGTTTGCAAGGTTTCTGTGCAAATATCGCTATACGCTGAAAGAGTTCTTGTGTTAGTTCCGAGTATCTCTCGAGCATTGAAAAGTTATGAAGGGTAAGTGAATTGAAAACGCATTTCATCGGCATAAGTGAATATGTTAAAAAATCCGCAGACGCTCTCGCCTATTGTCAGTGACACGCATTTTTGGGGGTCCTTCATTTTGATGAATATCATTCTGAATTAATTAATGGCATCAATAATCCAGCAAATTTAATTTTACGAAAACTAATTTTCCATTTTTGTAGAGCACACGTTACAGATTTAGGTTAAAAGTGATTCGATGACAATATTTGGTTGTTCATTTATCTGGAAATCATTTTACTTTCATTTTTTAGTGTTATAGTTCCCACTCATCGGGTTTTATTATTTTTACATGATAATTTTATGCCTCAACTTCCTCGCAAATATTTTGGCAACTCATAGCTGTCGTATTGAGTCAAATTAATAATGAAGCGACGTGTTTTCCTAAGCATTTGTTGCTAAGTGGACGCCAAATTAAAAAGTTTGACTGTTTACTCAGCGAGCATCAGTAGCGTCTAATCGTGCTGTCAGCGAGCATCGGTGACGCCTGCGTGCTGTCAGCGAGCATCGGTGGCGTCTAATCGTGCTGTCAGCGAGCATCGGTGACGCCTGCGTGCTGTCAGCGAGCATCGGTGACGCCTGCGTGCTGTCAGCGAGCATCGGTGACGCCTGCGTGCTGTCAGCGAGCATCGGTGGCGTCTAATCGTGCTGTCAGCGAGCATCGGTGGCGTCTAATCGTGCTGTCAGCGAGCATCAGTGGCGTCTAATCGTGCTGTCAGCGAGCATTAATGGCGTCTAATCGTGCTGTCAGCGAGCATCAGTGGCGTCTAATCGTGCTGTCAGCGAGAATCAGTGGCGTCTAATCGTGCTGTCAGCGAGAATCAGTGGCGTCTAATCGTGCTGTCAGCGAGCATCAGCATCGTTTAATACCGCACCACATGTCATGTTATAAGTCTCTGCCGTCACCCCGGTGCCAGCATCGCAGAGCCTGGTCGTCGCGTGGCCAGTAATTCGACGTATAAGCGTCTCGTGAGGCATCGAGAGGGGCTTACGCTAAAAAATTAATTCTTCCGCTTGAATGGAGCCATTTTTTATTCGTTTTCATATCCAGTCGTTACCGGGAATTTTAATTTCATTTTGGTCGTATTTTCATTTCTGAACTTCAGATAAAGTTTCAAAAATGTCATCTATATTTCATTTAATTTCACATTTTTAATAAGTCCAATGTATATCGGTTTAAACTGTATGGCCTTAAATTCATAATATGTTTCACGCTCGCGGCTCGTAGCGAGCGCTCATAAGCGTCGTAGCTCAGACCTCGTGACGCCCTCCCCTCCCCCCTCGCCCCGCACACGCGTCGGGTGCGAGTGTCCGGAATGTTTGGGACGTCCAAGTTCCCCCGCACTGAAGCTGCGGAAGTCTTGTGACAAAGTCGCTTTGAACGCTACCTGAATACGAATTATACTTCTGGGCACGTATGTGTTGGAAGAATCCAGTGCAAACAACTCCGTGTTTCAGGGAATTGTTTACGTTCTTTACACAAATATCCGACACCAATTTTTTGTATAAATCTAATTCATTCAATTATAATCCTGACAATGACTGTGAAGTTTCTTCGGAATTTCAGTTTTCTTGATTACGAATGCAATAAATTTTCATACATTTATTTAGTTAATTGCTGTTTATTTGTAATAATAATTTGTTAATATTCATGCTGTGCATGAATTTTCAAGCTAAGGAAATACTCTGCTCTCATCAGCTTATGAGAGATATTGCATGATCTTCGGACAATCAGACTCACAGATCTATGGATCGATCAGGGTGGAAGGTCTTGCTTTTTAGCCTTGGTCTGCCGGTCTATGTTTGTTCGCTGATGTCCCATGATTACTTGTTGGTCAGGCTGTGCAGTGATAAGCTCTAGATTAATGATGCAGGGGTACATCGTATGCTTTAATGAGCGTCCTTGATCGGGCGTAATGGTGGACTTGGGAGCCATTCTGGGCAGATGCTTCTTGAATTATGGCTTTCGAAAAATTTTCGTCGTGCGTTTTCATTATAAACTATTGTGCTCTAATCTAGAAAGTGAGGCACTCGTATTTCGCTTTGAATTTTAATGAGGTGAAACAAAAGTTATAGCATTTAGATAATAAGACTTCATTACACCTAATCATCTCTATTATTGTGCCACAAGTCAACGTAATTGTTGCAACGAACGAGTTTAATTTGAGCAAAAGTGCGCTAGAATCACGTACGCCACATCTCAGGCCCATTCCATCGATCTCAGATGTCACTGCGCGACTCTCGTAAGTTCCTAACTGGGCTGAAAAATTGCTCGCACTCCACGTAAC